TTCTATCTTTTCAACACGTAAGCGTGGGTCTGGAGAGCCCGTGTGTCCGGACGGGACTTCACCAGCGGGGTATACTCTTGACAGCTGGAACAAGTATCAGCCCCTCTGTCTGTCGACCCTGTCCATTGAAGATTCGGAAGACGTATATATCTTTGGCATTTTGGTGGTGGGAATCCTCCTGTTTGGCTTTGGAGCTGTTCTCTTCTACCACAAATTCGGAGGCATGGCAGTTCGCAAGATTCACGACCTGCTGGCCGACAAAATTGATGGGATGTACAAGGAGCTTAGCCGCGTCGTGGTTGAGAGTGCCGTGTCTGGTCAAAGGAGAGTGGTTTTAGTGGAACAGTTGGTTAAAGACCTCGCAGCTCGTTCACTCGATGGACATAAGACTCTGGAGTTGAGATTGAATGACATTGTTTGTCAGGCTTGAACTCTCTGACCCGGCTTGGATCTGCCCCTGTGTACGGGGTCTGAGGGCGCCGCAATTCGGTTTAATTGGATTTAATAGAATATCTGCCTGACATTGCATTTAATATTGTCCCCCTGAGGCGATGTGTTTCTCCTGCTGTGTCTGTGTCTTCTCTCCACTCTTATCTCACATTCCTCGGGCCAAGGCCATAATAACAAAGGTCCCATCTACAACAATCTCACACTTCAGTCTCCAGCTCGGATCCCGTCTCCCCCGCCTCCCTCTCTATCCATCTTGCTCCCTCCCTCCCCTCCACTCCTCACTGTGTTTCCGACTCACCCCCCTCCCTGACCCCGCCCCCTCTGACAGCCACATTGGGCCGGCTGTAGGAGGTGCTTCATCCCGAGAAAAAATCCGTGCTTTGCACAAGGCACAATGTGTCTATCTAACTGTCTGTGATACTGTATGTTATTGCTCTCTGCTGTTTATTCTACTGTTTGTCGCATGGCGCCGTAAAGATGGCGCCGTGGCAAGAGCTCTGGTGTGTGTCGTCTCCTCTGTCTGGTGCACACCGGGGTAGTCTTGCACAGTTTTTCCAATGTGGTTTTACTGCAAATGGCAAATAAATGAATCTGATCTGAATCTGAATCTGATCAAATCAATATTGCTGTATATTCCTAGGCTGTGTGTTTTTGTTTGTGTTCAGGAAAACCATCACATGTTGAACATTTATAGCAACAAAGGACAGTGTTCTTGTTGGTATCAGGTGCAGCGTTAGTTTCCTGTGTAGCAGTTTCCACAGAGCTCACTCATGTTAATTTAAAAAGAGCAAACACTCCCACGGGACTCCATGTAAAGGAATTAACAAAAAACATGTATTCCACAGCTTGAACTCTTGTACACTAAATTATATTTGCCGAGTTGTCGATGAAATAAAGTAACAATGGTAAGAAAACCGTATGGCTCCTTATTTCTTCAGCTGCAAAAAGTTACGTGCTCTTTCGGCTCCACTCGCTCCGTAAACAAAGCAAAACCTTTATCTCTCTCTCTTAAGGCGCGTTCAGACCAAAAGCTTCAAAAAGCTTTTGACGCGCTTCAACTGATGCCGGGATAGTTTTGTCATTTTGGTGCTTGAAGCTTTTGACGCGAGTGACGCGCTTGACGCCGGTGGGAGGAGCTTCTCTGTTGTCTGTAGTAGGATTTTTCAGTGAGCAGCGAGCCTTAATTTGTTATATAAAGCCAAATAACGTTGTCGTAGGGCTTCAACAAAACATGTTCTGGGTTCACCACAGACTTGAGAGGCTGCAGTGTTTGCAAAGTTTTGTCATTTACTACAGGAGCTCCGTACGGAGGAGTTTCCCTTTCAGCGGTACTTCCGCATGTCACTCGCCCAGTCTGAGTTCCCCGGCCCTCTCTCCCATCTCCCCGCCTCTCGCTCGCCTCTCGCTCGCCTCTCGCCCGCCCGGAGCTGCCTCGCTCTCGCTCTGAGCCAGACTCATCGTCAGCTTCTTATGTTAAATAAATTACGTTTACTACACAGCATGTGTACAATGATTGTTGTTACTTAAAAAGAACGTTACTATCATACAAATAATATTACTAATAATAACAAAAATGACAATAAAACACCAGCAGCTACATGACTTCTCTCCATGACAGAGACAGACCCGCTGCTGCTGCTGCTTGTCCTGATTGGTTGAGGCCCGCGTCAAAGCTTCAAAAGCTCAGCTTTGCTCAGCTTCGGCATCAAAGGGATTGTTTTGATACGCGAGCGTTTCGTGCGTCAAAAGCTTCAAGTGAGTGTGTATTACGCGCGACTTTTGAAGCTTTTGACGCGTGCCAAGTGACGCCGGGGCTCTCGGCTTCACCTGACGCACTTCACCATTCACTTTCAATGCAAACCTGACGCTTTTGAAGTCGAAGTTAAGTCCGGTCTGAACGCGCCTTTAAAGTGACGGTAACGTAAATATTCTAAGTTAACCAAATCATTAGGTCTAAAAGGTCGGGGTGGTGGCAATCAGCTGCCACCCAATTTACAGAGCACTGATCCCCCTGCTCCTCCTGCTCCTCACTGCTCCTCACTGATCCTCCTGCAGGTGGAGGGTCCACAGAAGGCATCTCTGTCGCTGAGAGCACAGCCTTGATCTTTCAGCGGGTACTTACGTCAAATATTAATCAAACAAATAACGATAGATAAGATACTACCAGTTTAAAATATACAAACGAATTGTTAACAATTTATACAGTTTGTGCTACATGCAAAATAGCAAACTAACTAAACTTAGCTTGGCTCCCACACCCCTATGTTTTCATTTGCAGTTAAGATCTAATCCACATCGAAGCATAGTCTAACTTTAACTGTCAGAACTTTAAACTAATATACCTATGTCCATAGTAACGGGGAGACATAACGAGAGATTCCAACTTCAGTGAAGAGAAAACAGAGTTCATTTGCCTATGCACAGACCAACTGACAGAGCACACAACTCGACAGAACACCGGATGTGTCATGTGAATTTTTCACCATTGTATTTTTTCGCGTTGAATTTAGACTGTTGAATTTAACATTATGAAATTGATCATCAGTGACTGAAATTCACAGACAAAAATATTGAAGATGTTAAAAACATTCAAATAGATGAATTCAGGTCCATTTAAAATTCAATTTCTGATGGAACAAATAGTCCGTCTTTTATTTTTTCATAGAATTTTTTTATTTGAATATTTTGAAGGTGAATATGTCATTTTGAAATTTTATTCACATTGAAATTTGTAAACTGAATTTTTAGTGACTGAAATGCAAAGATACAAATATCAGGGTTAAAATTTTCAAATGAAAAAAATAAAAAAATTCAAACTCTGACACAAAAACTCTTCCATACATTAATTGGCTCGGATTCACATTTGTTACGTGTATATTGGGCTAATGCTATAAACAACAGTTAAACTGTTCTAATGAAATACATGTTAATTTGTTATGGCTTAATGCTTTAATTTCTCAATTTACTTTATTTGCAATTGCAAACGGCCTTCTTGTGTTTTGTTGTTGGTGTTTTGGGCTATTGTTCAATAAATATCTAAATTTTAACCTTTATCTGGCTGACAGTTGTATTTATCACTAAAATTGCACGGACTGCAGTTTGTTTAATTGAAAGTAGCTTTTATAGATCAAGCTACTTTTGACAGGATTTTGTAACTTAGCTTGCTACATTTTTATGGGTAGTAACTTCAGTGTAGTGAAGCTGAATTAAATGTAGAGTAGCTTGTAGCTTGGCTCACTACACAAATCAAGTAGCTTGCCTAAGTAGGGTCCCTAACCCTATTGTGATGTCACATGGTGGTGATAAGTAAGTAAGTAATCTTTATTTATATAGCACCTTTTACAGACCAGAGTCACAAAGCGCTTTACAATTGTTGAGGGCATTTGTCTCTAACGGCACGGTCACATAGGTTTTTACAAACGAACCAGGCCAAGTGGCCGGGTCGTCACCACAGGGGTGTGAAAACGGCCAGCGGTCACATGAACGTGTATTCGCAAACGTGCCAGAGCAACTGTGCTGTAGTACAACACACTATTAACTCCAGAGACTACCTCGTTGTCCTGGTTGAGTTTCCGTTTCTCTTCCTGTTTACGCTCTGCTACTGCAGGTAACAGCTCGAGTACGGATCGCGTTGTTTAGGGAAAGACACATCTCACATTGCTCTGATGCAAAGTGCAGCACTTCAGTGGGTAACATGTGTGTGCACACGTATGTGTGTGCACACGTATGTGTGTGCGCACGTCGCGGACACGAGTGCACACACACACACACACACACACTCTTTAGTAACGAGCGTAAGAGCGCTGAGAAATTAATGAATGAGAATGAAAAGTGTGGCATACGAGCAGAGCGACTGGAGACAGGCAGGATACAAGTGTGTGTTGGTGTGTTCTTGCGCTTAAATAAAGACTGATTCTTGAATGTCTGAAGTCTTATTGCAATAGCACCACACTGAGAGCGAGGGTCAGAACAGAGGGAGTTATTCCCGTAGGAAACGCTTTTCTTTGGCCCTGGGAGGGAGAGACCTGTGTGAAAATGCCCGTCACAACGGAAGACGTAATGTGACGCACAATATCAAGTCCCCACCACACCTCATCCCCCACTCCCCACCATCCGTCACAGTGTTCACCCTCATCTGGGCTCTACAAAGCGGGCCCTGGCCCAAGTCTTCAAGCGTGCCTTGGCGCGGTTGAGGCTATCGTGCCCAAACCCACTTGCCGCGGTCACATGGCACCTAAAGCCCGGATCTAATCGCAATGTGGGCCCTGGCCCACTTAAAGCCTCAATCCACACCGAGATGGGAGCAAAGTTGCCATACAGGAGGCGTATGCCAGATGTCACACTCGGTCTCTAACCCTGTTATCACATGGTGATGTCACAAGGTGGTGATGTCACACGGTGGTGATGTCACACTCAGTCTCTAAACTTGTAGTCACATGGGGATGTTACGCAGTGGTGATATAACACTAAATCACTAAACCTGTTGTCACATGATGATGTCACACAGTGGTGTTATTGCACTCTCTAATACTGTCACATGACTGTTGCAGGACGATCAGACGAGTGCGTACGCTGAGATATTACAGCAGCAGAGACGTAACGGTGCTCTGCCGCCGTACCACCACCATGCTCCACCCCCTGTGCCCGAGCACCACAGGCGCATCGCCCACACCGCCACGGGCAACAGTGCCACGGCCAACAGCGCCACAGGGAACACTGCCAGGGGCAACAGCGCCACGGGTGCCAGCACCACGGGTACCAGCACCACGGGCAACAGCGCACCGGCTGCGGGCAGCCTGAGCGAGCACGAGTCCATCAGCGCGTAAGTGACAATGCTGTGAGCGTTACTCTGTTCCTGTCCTCAGGAGGTTTCTGTAGTAACCCACATGGAAAAGACGTACAAATATTTTATTGAACTTGCTTGAAATGTATAAATTACACATATGACATTCAGTCGTTCAGTTGGTAGAGCAGTGGCCTTTGAGCTTGAAGGTCGAGCCCACCATGACACCTTCTCCGCCGACTCACACTGATGTCTGATGTCCACCTGCAGGAGGATCAGTGAGGGGCTGGTGTAAATTGGGTGCAGCTCTGACTGCCACCCCCTGACCCTGATATAAAACAGGGAACGTATTTGTAGTATTGCAAAATACTACAAAAGGTAGAAGTACCAAAAGTAATGTGATTACTCATCATTATGAAGATCATGTATCATAATTTAAATAACTGCTATTACACTATTATTACACAACTTATTACACTATTACTTATCAACATATGGTATGATAAATAGAAAATACACACAAATGTGTGTATTTTATGTATGACATATGGATTTTATATTGATTATGTATTGTAAAACTGCAAATTATACAAAGACTGTGTACAATGTGTTTATTAACATAAAACACTTTTTTGCCATATATGAAAGATGTGCCAAAGGTGCAATTTTCAGAAGATAATCATATAAGCATCAGGAGATAATCCTACAAACATCATACAAAATTCATATAAAATGTAATGGTGACAATTTTATATATTTTATGTGCAACTTTTCCATATGGGAAAACTCTGTCACTGGGCTCTAGAAGTCCATCCATCCATCCATTATTTTCCCCTTTATACATTTCTGGGTCAGGGGGGTGGCAGTCAGAGGTGCACCCAGTACACAGAGCACCAGCCCCTCACTGATCCTCCTGCAGATGGTGAGTCCACAGGAGCTATAGAGGTATCTGTTGTAATACTCTGTGCCTGTGCTCAGGCCGGTGCTAGCCGCCGACTCTGGCATTGAGGAGGTGGACAGCCGCAGCAGTGGAGACCCGCAACACCTGGAAAGTACGAGTAACGTGTCAAGTATTTCCACTCTGTCGTCCGAAGGAGGCTTCTGTGAGAGCACCCTGGAGCTCCACCTCCTCCCAGAGAGGCCCCCAGTACCCCCCAAGCCCAAAGGTAAGACCAGAAACCAAAGAGGGACCAGGGAGGCCAGGGAGGTACCAGAGAGAGACACAAGAGAGAACAAGACCAGATAGCAAGAGGGGAGACCCGAGAGAGGTCAGGAGAGATCAGAGAGAGTGAGAAAAGAGAGACCAGAGAGAGAGACTGGATAGAGACCAGAGAGGTCAAAGAGCGTGGGCAGGGAGAGTCCGTAGGGAGAGACAGACCAGAGAGTGAAAGACAAAAGAGACCAAATAGAAACCAGGGAGAACTGGGTTTCCCTCCGGCACAGACCAGTGATTAGTGAATGGAAGCTAAGACTCTGTTTACATAATAAAAAAGGTTTAATGTATATAAGCAGAATACAGACAAATTACAGACTAAAAACTACAGCCTGGGTCCCGCTGGATGGAATAGCAGAAAAGACCCAGAATAAAGCAGACGCTTCTCCTTATAGTAGTAGAGGAGCGTCACAAGACACACATTAACAAACCATACATACATCGTATTGCAGTCTCCTGCAACTCATGCTGTTCTAAGATGAGGGTCCCCATTCTTACCAGACATCATGTCCACCTCATGACTGGGAGAGATGGGGTCAGCAGTTTCCTGTCATTGAGTGCTGACGTGTCCCATCACATTCTATACATATGAAGACCCAAATATGTATGTAGAACTAAAGAATATTAATAATAGCAGATACCACAAACCGGAAAGAGAGACCAAAGAGAGCCTAGAGAAAGACCAGAGAGAGAGAGACCAAAGATAGAGAGACCAGAGGGGGGGACCCAGAAAAAGACCAGAGAGGCAGTGAAAGGTGAGGCCCTTGTAGGACGGGGTGTTCTTTTTTTTGGGTTAAACTTGGTCTGTTTCGGCAGGTAAACCCGTGATAAACCGGTCGTCTTTGTACCACGATGCTCTGATCGAGGAGCCTCTGGAGGTGGGGGAACTCGTACGGACTCCGACCCAGCGGAGCTCCAGGCTGTGGGGGGAGCCTGAGCTCAGCAGCCCCCCTTCTGCAGACAGCACGGTGATGACTGAGCTCAGCAGCATCCTCCAACACATGAACCGGGGTCACAGCGCCACAGACGCTCTGAGCTCCCCCCAAGGCACACACAACTACCCTCCCAGGTACACAGAACTAATCCCCCTCAGGTACACGCAACTGTCCTCTCTCGGTGTCCTCTGACACTGTAAGAAATATCTAACTATCAATCGTCGCAACCATTTCCTGGTTGGTGGTCTTGAATGCATGCTCTCACTCTTGCATTCCTGGCTTTTTCCTGTAGTTGTTTATTTATTTATTTACAACTGCATATTGTAGATGTTCATGGACATGTGACTTATTTAGTTTAGTGTAGTTAGACAAAGGATGGTGATCCTGGTCCTCTTCAAGCAGCTTTTGTCGTCATTGAACCATGTGGTTTTATACCAGACTGTAAACTTTATACAGTCTTTATACAGACTGTTTAGTGTTAAGAAAATTTGGTTTGTATCTGCAGTAGTTTTGGGGGGTTATTTATCCTGTAAAAATATTGTTATATATTGTATATCAGTTTAAAAAAATAAATAAAAATCAACATATATTTTCTATATATTTTTGTCTCCATAGCGTCCAGCCCTAAATAATGTATAAAATGTACATTGTATACATACTGTACACTGCATAAACACTGTATACATACTGTTTACAGTGTACAGTATGAATACAGTATACATACAGCAGTGTAGAGTGTTTTTGTCTGAAGGATAGTGATTCGTTTCTCACATTCAACCTGGAGATGCAGTCACTATGGAAACAGAAGCCTCAGCACAAAGCTGCTATAAGGGTGCATCTCCATGGTAACCTGTAGTAAAATGTACAAGACACACCGCTAGAGCTGAAGCCATTAAAGCTCAGGCACCTGACTTTACTACTACACTATACTCCAACAAAAACAGTCTTTCCAGAAACCTCACAAATAGTGTGTGCGTGTGTGCTTGCACATCACATGTGCGCAATGTGTTTCTGGGTCACGGTTACATAACTCTTCAGCCTCAGCGCAAAATAGAACAAGAAATGAAAGAGGAGGGCGAGTAGGAGGATGAGGAGGAGGGGAGTAAGAGGCAGATCAAGAGGAGGAGAGGGGGATGAGGAGGGAGGTGGGGGGTTTTTGGTGAGAGCATGCATTCCAGAGCTTCCCGGTTCAACAGTCACTCCCCTAGCTTGCCATGCCTGAGGCACTCTAGATATATAGATACTTTATTGATCCCTCAAAGGGGAAATGTAGCTGTCCAGCTGCTGAAACACATCCATACAAACGTATACAAGTACATAAAATGTAAGCGTTTCTAACTAACTGACAAACTAACGATACAATACATTACGATACAATACTATAATTTATTCTTTTATAGCCCTAAATCACACAGAAGTCATCTCAGAGGACTTAACAAAACCATTGAAATCACCAACACAGATCAGAGAATCAACAGTTAAGACACAAAAATACACATATGTATTGGTCCATATGGTGAGACCAATGTCCATTAATGTTTTTTTTTTTTTTAAAATAAAAAACCTTTATTAAAGACAACAAAACACAAAACAGACAGGTACATCAACATTCAACAAGAACAAACATACATGAAAGGATACAAATATATAACAATAATAACAACAGACAAACGTACACATTTAGACAAAGTGATAATTACACATAGACAAACAGATTATTCGATGCTAAATTAAGTGTGTGTGTGTGTGTGTGTACGTGTGTACGTGCGTGCGTGTGGGTAAGTGTGGGTGCTGTGGGGTGCGGTGTGTGCAACATTTGTTGAATCACATGATCAAGACACCATTTTCTAGTTTGAGCTACCTCTAAGTGAGACCTTCCCTCCGCCGTTCCTGCTCATTGCCAGCGTCCTTCTTATTTATTATAATCATATATATACTTATATACAAGTTATTTTTATCTATTCATTCTTTCTTTTTCTTTTTTTTTTTTAGTTTTTTTTTCTTTTTTCTTTTTTTTTTAAATACGAAGTTTTTTGTTTTGTTAACTCAGTGATTCTATATAAGCGTGTATGAGGTGCATTAAAAAGGCCCGAAAAAGTGCCCGCCCGGGATCCGAGTGGCGCTCTTCCTTCGGACCTGCCAGGTCATGTGTGTGTGTGTGTTTTTATTTTATTTTATTTATTGATAATAATAATAATAACAATAACAACAACAACATTATTATTATTACCATCATTACCATCACTACCATCATCATCTTCTTCCCCTATACAGGGGTGCATTTGAAAGACACTGGCCATGGCAGGGAGGGGGGGGAGTGTATGTTATTTATCTACTAAGATTAATGAAAATGATGATGATTGATCATGCGGGTCAAAGTGGGAGGGTTTAACTTTTAACTCGCCATATAGGGAGGGTATATCAGTACAATTGTGCTTGCAAGTTATTTTAGTGTGTGCATGTGTGCGTGAGTGTGTGTGCGTATGCTGTCATGGCCAGATTCCCGGCACAAGATATTCTAATCATTTAGGTCGATACATGCGTCTTCTTTCCCAGCGTCTGAAACCCGCTCCCCATCACTGTTTGAAACATTAACACAAAGGCTGCTTGTCCACGGTCCTCTTTCCCATAACCTTCGCCACCACCTGCATGGGCCTATCTCAAATGTTCTTACAGCGTGTTCCTTGTTATCAAATTCGAAGGTCCTTTTCTGCGCTTAATGTATCTCTCTCAAACTTTCCCGTCTGCAGCTGCGTATGACTCATCTCTCTTGTGACGATTGTCCATTGTTCTGTCTGACACACCTCCAGTATAAGATCATAAGACATGTTTGTTGGGGAGAACAGACAGACGCGGCATCGCTCCAGGTCCCGCTTCTGTTTGACCCCTTTCTGCGCAGAAATGTCATTTTGTATTCATCACTTCTGTGAATAAAACTGCACCAAAGGACAAGTTTGTTTCCTCTCGGTTTCATTCATTTGAGGCAATAGAATTTCCATAACAATGCGCGTGCGTGAGTGTGTGTGTGCGTGCGTGTGTGCATGCATGCATGAGTGTTAGCGTGAGTGTGTGTGCGTGAGTGTGTGCGTGTGAGTGTGTGCGTGCGAGCTCTCATGTCAGGAAAAAAGGAGAGTACAGGTTACGTAGATATATTACATTTATAGGCAATGGAGGGGAGAAAAAATAAATAAATAAATAAACTAAAATAAAAATAAGGGGGGATTGTGGTTAAAGCAGTGCGAGGTCAGAGAGAGCTGTTTGAAGTGAAGGTTCTGGTGCTCTGTCATTATAGGGGGGCGTTGAATATTCTATTGAAATGAAGTCGATTAGTAGGTTTTTCCAGTGATTGATATGAATCTGAATGTTTCTTGTTTTCTAGTTCATGAGAATAGTTTTCTTGGCGATGGTTAGAGCTATGAGGATGATTTTGAGGTTTATTGCTTGATTTGGGAGTGTTGATAAGTCCCCTAGCAAGCAGAGTGCGGCTGATAGAGGGATGCGACAGCTCAGCAGGGAGGATAGTGACTGTGTGACCTCTTCCCAAAAGTGTTTTATGGGGGTGCAGTCCCAGGTGGCATGCATGTATGTGTCTTTGCAGTTTTGAGTGCAGTGTGAACAGATTTCATTGGTGAACCCCATTTTAGACAATCTTTCCCCAGTGTAGTGTGCTCTATGAATTATCTTGTACTGTATCATTTGAAGGTTTGTATTTTTTGTCATGAAGTAAATGTTTTTGCAGATTAGGCTCCCGATGCCGAACTCCTGGGCGAGGAGAGGAAATGGAACAAAGGTGTTGGATGCGATAATATGGTTTAAGTGAGTGATACCCTTTTCAGCCCACGTGGCAAAATGGGGTGTTTTTTTTTATTACACACAAAATCCGGGTTATTCCAAAGTGGAGAGAAAATGGATGGAGAAATTGTGGAGTTAGTAATTTGGTGGAGTTTCCACCAGGCTGTCAGAGCGGAAGATATTGTCGCTGCTTTGAAACATGAATGTCTTTTAATGGTTTGTGTGAGAAAGGGTATGTCTGATATCTTAATGTCTCTGCATAGTGATTGCTCTATATCTAACCAGGGGGTATCTGCTTCAGTGGGGTGTGTCCATTTATATATCTATTGTAATTGGTTTGCGAGAGAGTGGAACTGAAAATGTGGTGCTTCTAGACCTCCTTGGTCTTTATTTTTTTGGAGAGTACTCAATTTTATTCGTGCCGTTTTATTTTTCCAGTAGAATCTTGTGATGATTGAGTTAAGGGATTTGAACCAGGTTGAATTAGGGTGATGTGGGATCATTGAGAATAAATAGTTTATTTTGGGTAAGATTTTATAACTGCTATTCTGCCTATAATGGAAAGTGGTAAATTGGTCCAGCGCAGGAGGTCATCTTCTATTGTTCTTAATAAAGGTGTGAAGTTAAGAGCATTCAGCTCTGACAGCCTGGCAGAAATCCTAATGCCTAGATAAGTGATATGGTCATTACATAGGGGGATAGGTGATTGTTGAGCCGTCGCATCCCATTTGGTGTTATGTAGAGGGAGGATAGTTGATTTACTCCAGTTTATTGCGTAATCCGAGATTTTTGAAAATGATTGTATGGTTTTAATTACTTCTTGAATCGATTGTTGTGGGTCTTGTATGAAAAGTAAAATATCGTCGGCATAGAGAGAGATCTTGTGAGTTTGAGTGGTTTCAATACCTTGTGTTCTGAGGGTGTTCTGACGGATTGCTGCTGCTAGGGGTTCTATGAAGATGGTGAATAAGGATGGAGAGATGTCCATTAATGTTGATAAATGTCCTTACATGTTGTAGAATGTTAAAGTGTCCTGGATCATCACCACAGTCCTTCTTGTTAGACACTAAGTGCTGGACACCGGCCGCGTCTCCATTTACGCGCGCAGACTGTGGCCCGTCAGACGTCCGTAAAACGGAATATTGGCCACACCGGCTTCAGCAGCTCTGACTGTTACTTTATCAGCACCCCGTGAGGCTTTGTTTTAAATAGAAGAAGCGGTGTGTGATTTGCATGAGCTGTGGCTATGATCTATGCAAAGCACGGCATTTTGAAGCATCGAGGACGTTGCGATGGATGAGGCAAAAATTATTGAAAGCAATTGGAAAAAAGGGAGAGAAAA